CTGCCAGCCTGCAGGCCAGATGCATCATGCCGAAGCCATGCCCACCCCATTGCCGGCAATGGAGAAAATCACATGACGTTACGAGTTTGACACCCCTGTCCTAGACAATGAAACTATTTTATAAATTAATTTCTACTTTTTATTATCTGTCCCCTCAACCATCTATTTTTTAGGCAAATAGCAGATCAAACCATCTCTATTATCTAGAACTTAAAGAGCAAAGAAGGTTGGAAAAGAGTCAATTTTGCTAATCTGCTTCATGTCTGATCTCATAGTAGAACTGATCTCATAGTAGGTCATTACTCATACATCACAATCAAAGGTCAAATTGATTGGAGGAGAAAATGAGGACAAAACAATTACAGGTGGTCCTTGATTTATGACCACAATTGATCCCAACATTTCTGTTGCTAAGCAAGACAGTTTTGCCCCATTTTACAAGTGGTTAAAATTATAGTATTCTTCAACTATTTGCTTATACTATAGACTTGATACAATTCTGTTTTTGAAAACACGTTTAAATATATGGAACCCGTGACTGAAAAATAACTTTGTGTGTTATTTAATAAACATTGGTAATAACAAATATCCCTAAAACTGATCTATTAAATGGAGGTTTCAGCATACTCCAAAATACAGGCAGCACAAGACTGCATAGTATCAATGCTTACAACTGTAATGATAAAATAGTGGTTCAAAAAGTCAGTAGTGTATATTTTATAGCAGTTCCAGCATCTCAGAATTTAGTATTGTTTAGGGATTCCTGGACCTGCATGACAACCAGTTTCTATTCCCACCTCCAAAAGATTGTAAATTGCATCTTATCCCAAAGGTGCTTTTTCAAAAGTCAACTGGACTTCATTGTTTTTTCCTTGACGACCTTTTGCTTGTCATCCAAGAAGCTTCTTCAGTTCTAAAGAAGCTTCTTGGATGAGAAGTGAAATGTCTTCAAGGAAAAAACAAGAATTCCAGTTGCCTTTTGAAAAAGTACTTTTGGAATAATAACCATGACCTGGATGACTGAGAATCTCCGTAGACAAATTGCATATTACTTCAGCAAATGTTACTTCAGCCATTGGATTTCTGGTATGGATTATATAATGGAAGGTCAATGAAGATATTCCAGATTTTAAACTGATTGATTCATGCTCATATCTGAGCATCTATATATCCATAACCATAAGGAGCACTTTTTTCTGATAATCTGAATCTTAACCATTAGGCATATGAGAGCAGGCATACTTGCAGACAACTAGGATGTGTGGCAAACTGAACCCTTCCATCTCCTTTTCAACCCACTATATAGATCAACTACTTCATTGTACTTGACCTGGTCAGCTATCCCATATGTATGCCTCTGTGCAGTTGCCATAGCAATGATCTGCAAGATAGCAACTCTGTTAACTTCACAGTGTGATGTTCTGAGGAACACCTCAGAATGATGTTTATTTTTCTCCTTTTTAATTAAATATTGTAAAGAAAGAATATAAACTATGAGAGACAGAAGACATATAAAATGGGTAAAAGAGATAAGTACATTAAAATAAAATATACAAATAAGGGATATATGGTATCATAGAAATTAGTTTTCCAATATTTCATTACAGAACAAGTTTTGTATAATGTTAAAGCAACAGACTAAAAACTAGAAGACTGTGAGTTCTGATCTTCTCTTAGGCATGAAGCCAGTTGAGTAACCTTGGGCCAGTCACTCACTCTCAGCCTTAGGAAGAAGGCAATGGCAAGCCATTTCGAAAAAATTGTGCCTATCTGTAGGGTCTTGTACAGGCAGTCACCAAGAGTAAAAAAAAAAACCCTGACTCAAAGGCATACACACACACACACACAGAGAGAGAGAGAGAGAGAGAGAGAGAGAGAGAGAGAGAGAGAGAGAGAGAGAGAGAGAGAATGGCAACAGTAAATTTCCCAGACTAGGCTGTGACCTTTTGAGTTTGTAAAGTCACCCATCAAAGTAATAACCTCTTTAACCTCTTTTGCAAATAGAAGATAGAGCTTAAAGCCCTTCTGTTACCATACCACAAATTTCCATAAATGTATGTGACTTTCAATTTCAATAAAGGAGACTTTGTAATTATATGTAGTTGTTCTCACCTGCAAAAAATATTCTTAAGGTGCAAACTAATTAGAGTTTTAGATGAACTGGTTGTCAAGGTAATAAATAATCAACTCTTCTAATCATTGGAAGACTTGCACCGCTTAATTTGAGCTTTATTGTGCAGAATGCAAGACATTGTAAATTAACCCAAACAAAAATACAATAATGACTAGGACAGAAATCATTTTTGAACTCATCCAGCAGAAATGTGTGTGCTGAATGCAACCTAGCTATAGAGTTAATAGATTCATACATTAAGTATTGGAATTTCAGAATATTATAGAGAAAAGAGATGTGGAGTGTACCATTTTCATTCTGCATGGAAAAAGATGTACCACTACAGTCACTAAAAGCAGAAAATTAGCTTACCGACATGAAATATGCCATTTCTCTTCTATTTCATTTGCAGGTTTTGTACCTAGACCAATCTGATTCATTTTATCACATTATTCCACTGCACAGGAAAAGAAAAGGCCACATGGACTGTTCTGTATTTTTGAACTATATCATGTAATAGATAGTAAGAACTAATGTGAAGAAAAATCCTATTATTCATAGCAAACCTTAATGCCAATAATTTGTTTGCAGGGACAGATTGGAATTAATTAAGTTAATGAACCATTTGTGATCACTTATATCAGTGGTTCTCAACCTGTGGGTCAGGACCCCATTTGGTGTCGAATGACCATTTCACGGGGGTTGCCAAACAATGCAGTCCACCATTTTTTTCCCTTTTTCCTTAGCTGTGCTACTCCCTTTTATTCTATTGGCTTTTGAAAGCCAATAGAATAGACTCTCTTGAATAGAGTCGAATTCTATTGTCTTTCAAAAGCCAGTAGGAATTGTCCAGGCTGTCTCTGCCCTGCTGAGCCCGCCAAAATCCCATTCTGCAAACGGTGCTGCACCAGTTGAGTAGTCCTTGACTTACGACCGGTTGAGTAGTCCTCGACTTACGACCGGTTGGGGGGTCGCGGCATTAAAAAGGTTGAGAACCACTGACTTATATCATTCCATCTATGCTTAGCAATATGTAACACAAGTTCTTGGAGAATACTATATGGGCTTAGTTTTGACAACCTATAAATGAAATTACACAGAGTCGTATATTTTCATGGTTATGCTAACAGGATGTTATTTGTATTTGCTTTAAAAAATGATTATGGGCATTATTAAAATATACCAGGAAAATAGGTCGCAATAACAGTGCAGCATTAATTATACGCAATTTATGAGTTCATCTACAGAAACTCAATTTAGTGGTTCAATTTTTAAGTAAATTTAAAGCTACATTTAGCAGATAAGTAATTACACATAAGTCTGGAATTTGAGGGGAAAAAGTGCAGGGAGGGAAAGAGAATTGAGGCAAGGGAAATATATTAGCATAGCATAGTTCTGTTTAGAAAAATTATATTGGATAATTTTGGAAAGAAAACTCATGAGACCACAGCTCCCTCTCTCTTCTCAGTTATTTTTACAGTGAGATTCATCCCAGTCTGTTCATCTACTCAGTTAAGACCACAACCCAATATGCAAGCTCCAAAACATTTATTTGTAAGAGTCTGCAGAGGTTGGTCAGTCATACAAAGGACACATTAGTCATGTTTCTAAGGTGAAAGACCCATCCCACTGCCAAATACGGACCATATCTACATTACAGGAACAAAGAGACTCAAATTACAAATAGATTATTGGTTGTGAGGTAGGTATTAAGCATTCCATATTTGGATAAAGATGACATCATGGTAAGAAAAACAGGAGTCTTAGAAAATTTTCATATCTCTACTGTGTCGGGCTGTGCTGTGCTCATATCATGCTTAACTCTAACTAGCAAACACACATTTCTCTATTTGTCCACAGTATTCACTCTTTGTAAATAGGGCTCGTTATATATATTGTATATGGGCAGATCAGAAAACATGGGCCATCTTCCATCAAGCAAAGTGCATTTTTGGCTCAAGTAATTTGATCATAATGTTGGCTACTTAAAGACAGCTCTCCTTCAAAATATAAAACACACACACACACACACACACACACACACACACCCTCTTTTCAGGGAGAGACTTCAAATCATTCTTGCTCCAGGAGACTTAGACACAAAGCCAGCTGGGTGACCTTGTCCAGTCTCTCTTTCCAAAAGTCTTGTCCACAAAACTGCAGGGACAAAGAAGCCTAGAGGGACAAAAATTTGTAATAATCCTGAAAAGAACATTTGGGATGTACAGTTCAGTAAAAAAAAAAATCCTATCACTTTACTATATGCATTAATAGCTCAGTATTCAGGTCTGGCATTTTTCCCAATTCGGATTTAAAAATAAACACACAGAAAATATTGTAATTGTTTATGTTCACAGCATCTTGCAACATAGGGAGATTTCATCATCATTTTCTCCTAATTTATATAACTGTTAAAGTAAAGTGCTGAACAGTGTTTTTTTTTATTGAAAAGTTTATACAATATACATCCCAAGACCCACCCACCCCTATCCCCCCTACCCCACTTCCCAGAGCTGAGTACAGGGTTACAAATAAACAATCAAACTCTAAAAAACATTATCCAACTATACAAGTAACCAAGTCCATAACACACTTTAACTCCTTTATAACATAAATATAAACAAATTAAAAATAAACATAATAATATAAACAAATCAATATTGTTAAACCATACTAAAACTAATAAAAATTAAAAAATAAACTATTAATAATACTCTAAAATTTACTCATAGGCTAAATGAAACTTTTTAATCCCATATTTATTCTGAATATAATCTATCCATCTTCTCCAAACCGAAATATATTTTTCTTGTGAATGGTCCTTCAAGTAAGCAGAAATTTTTGCCACTTCTGCTAAATTTGACACCTTAAGCGTCCAATCTTCTATAGTAGGCAAAGAATCTTTCTTCCAATATTGCCCTACTAATAAATAAATGTTCCTCTCCACGGAAATCTTTAGTAAAAGGCGAAAGATTTATACGATCTGAAGAGAAACCAGAGTATGAACTGAACAGTGTTTCTTTAACGCAATCACTAGAACCAAATAATATCGTTTTCTGCAAAGGTTTAAAAAACTTTTCTTCTGTTTAGTTTTGGATCCTTCAAACAGCAAATATTAGGTTCCTCAATTACATTTCTTTCAGAATTTACAGCAACAAAGGGATTTTAATCTTTCTCACTACATCAGTACAACATGGTTAACCTAATCAGCTACTAAGCAAACATTTCACTTTTAAATTTGAAAGTACACTATCTACAGTATGTACCAGTAATAAAGGGCTAATAAAGAGGAAATAATCATTTCTGACCCAGTACCTTAACAATATTAACAGGCTTCAGAGTGTCCAGTGACACACTGCAGTTCTGAGCATTACTAGGGCACATCAGCCAGGCCTTGAGAGTGAATTTTCTCTCCCATTGCTTTGCTTCCTGGTCGGTTCCAATATTATCTGAAGAATCATCTCACCCCAATGAGATTGGCCCGCCCCACTGTCTCCGGCACTGTTTCTTTGGAGCCCATCAACCATGGAATTTTGGCAAGCGAGGTCAAGGAAAAGAGCCTTCTCTGCCATGGCCCCCTTCCTCTGGAACACCTTGCTAATGGAGGTGAGAACCCTCTCCATTCTTCTGGCCTTAAAAAAGCCTTTAAATATGCCTTAGCTGGTTAGCATGGGGGCCCAATAGAGGCATTTTGTGCTGGAGGGGATTAGCTGAGTGAGAAACAAAAGCCCATCTCCATACCACTCTAAAGGTGCTTTTTCAAAAGGCAACTGGACTTTTCTTGGTTTTTTTCCCTTGAAAACAGTTCGCTTCTCATCCAAGAAGCTTGTTCAGTTCAGCTTCGTGGATGAGAAGTGAAATGTTTTCAAGGAAAAAAACCAAGAAAAGTCCAGTTGCCTTTTGAAAAAGCACTTCTGGGACAACCATGACCTGGATGACTGAAAATCTCCATAGACATCTGTGCTCTTAGTTTTTAATCTTTGCTTCATTTTGTTAGCTTGTAATGCTTTTTATCTTTGTTATCTGCCCAGAGTTACTCAGGATAGTGTGACAGGCAGCATATAAATTTCATAAATAAATATTGATACTGCCCTGCAGTCAACTATATTCCACATTCCCACCCTAGTTATAAGAACTAGGGAATAGTATGCAAGAATACACATGTGCATACTTTCCATCTGTGAAATGTTAGAATGGGACTACTTTTAAAACTTCTTTTTGCTTTTCCGTGTCACTGATCTGTTGTCAGACATAAATCCTTGCTAAAGCTTTGGCCAAGGCTATGTGCCAATGACACTGTAGCTTTTGCAGTTCATGCTATGGATCCAATGTGAATATTTATAGTCCCTCTGCTTTGCTTCACTTGGATCCCCTGGGCTGATTAATGTGAAGTATTCTCTGACACACTTTAGACCAAACAGGCCCACTGGCGCTTGCTTTGTTCCTGGTAGCGAGTCTCTTCTAGCAGACTTTCAAATTCCCACCAGGTCTCCTGCATCTGCAAGACAAGGCCAAAAATGCAAAGAGGGAGAAAAAGCTTCTACGTCAAATTCCAGCCGAGAAGCATTGAGAAATACTTGGCTGGAAATCTATAAAAAACATCCCCACTCACAAAATTCTTGTCCCCAAAAGCCAATTAAGCTCCCTGATAGTTTTTCACCTTTGAGGAAGGTGCCCTTACTCTCTTCTGTTTCTCAAATGTTTCCTAAATGCATATGTTTTGTACAATCTTGGCTTTAAGTTAGAAGGAAAATGAGTTTTCTGAAAGAATACGGGAAGAGAAGGGAACAAAAAAGAGGCTGGATTCATATATCACGCTAAGTTATACAGATAGTCCACAACTTAAGACTGTAATTGAGCCCCAAATTATGGTTATATGTCATGCCAATCGTTAAGCAGGTCAACCTATGACCATGACTGATTTTATAACTTTTTTTTTTGCAGTGGTCACTAAGCAAATGCAGCGATTGTAAAACAAATGCCACAGTCATAAAACAAATGCCATGGTTGTTAAATGAATGCCATGGTTGTTCAGCAAATCCATGTGGTTTCATTCTAAATCACAGACTTTTGACTGCAGATCCTGCAAACAGCTGTAAATGTGGGCCTGTTGCGAAAAGCGCACTAATATGACAGGTTGGTCCATTGTAACTTCAAATGGTCACTAAAGCATTGGTTGTCCCAAGGGTGCAACTGGACTTTCTTTTTTCTCTTTGAAGATGTTCCACATCTCATCCAAGAAGCTTCTTCAGCTCTGATGCCACCTGGAGGCTTATCTGTGTTCCAAGAAGACTCCACACCCATTTGCATTACTCAGGTGACCCTGATGACACAGAAAAGCCTCCAGGTGACCTCAACGACTCTCTAAAATAATTTAAAGGACCAGCTGTTTGCAAGGAATATAAATCCTTCCATTTTCCACCATCCGGTCAGAGCTGAAGAAACTTCTTGGATGAGAAGAGGAAACATCTTCAGATAGAAAAAAGAAAGTCTCGCTGCCTCGTGAAAAAACACCTTTGGGATAACCATGACCTGGATGACTGAAAATCTCCATAGACATAAGGCATTGGTTATAAGTGAGGATTACCTGTAATGCAGTTTGTTGGTGCTATGTGAACTCAGACACTAGTTTTTAAATGATGACTCATGGCATAACATACTGTGTGAATCCAGCCAATTTTGTTTAATAGAAGATAGAATGTATAGAACATGGAATAATAGAGTTGGAAGGCACTTGGAGGTCTTCTAGTCCAAAAGACCTTATACCAGATAAATGATTGCCCAGTCTCTTTTTGAAAGCCTCCAGTAATGGAGCACCCACAACTTTTGAAGGCAAGTTGTTCCATTGGTTGATTGCTCTCACCATTAGGAAGTTTCTTCTTGGTTCTAGGCTGCTTAATTAAATTATGAATAAGCAAACTACCACATGTTATGTGAACATAAAGTGGACTTGCCCCATCTCCCTAGACCAGTGGTGGCGACCCTATGGCACAGGTGCCAGAGGCGGCACTCAGAGCCCTCTCTGTGGGCACGCAAGCTGTCACCCCAGTTCTAGGCCCTCAGCTGGGTTTTATAAAACCTTTTTGCTTTAGGCCTCCGCTGCCGTGTGCAAAAAAAAAAAAAGTTCAATCAATCAGTCAATTTCAACTTCTCGTGGGAAAAAAAAGATCTTGCAAAGTTGGAATTGATCGATTGGACTTTTTAGTCCCACCTAGTCTGCCGTTACCACCGCAGCCACACTCACCCAATGGGCCACACCCTTCCAATTGGCCACACCCAGCCAATGGGCCACACCCACCCAGCACCCGACGATGCATAAGTGGGTTTTGGGTTGCAGTTTGGGCACTCGGTCTCTAAAAGGTTCGCCATCACTGCCCTAGATATTTAGATTCCATATTTTTTTCTACAAAGGGGATCCTCTGATATGCGGAGGATTATGTACATGTGCAATGCATGGACAGATACAATTTTGGATATGGGGAAGATATAGTGGTTATGTACAGAGTTCTTTTTAGAAAATCTGTAATTTGTCCTGAGACTTTTAATTACAAAATACTTTTAGTGTTAATGTCAATTTGTTTTAATTTTATGGAAAAAAATTTTTTACGTTTAGTTGTCCTGAGCAGAAAAGCAAGGTTTAAACTGAAGAAAGAAATGTGCATATATGTGATCAATCATTTCTGTTTTCTCCAATATATTGTATTTCCCCTAACTAACCTACTTTCAATTCTTGTTATCTTATTTCCTAAAGTAGTTTTAAATAGTTTGATTATGCCTTCTGTTGATGTCTTTCCAGGAATAATGAAATGCTGAGTTTACACATTTTCTCCTAATCTAGAAAAGAGTCTTAATAGGGTCTGATTAGATTTCTCATTATTTTGAGGGACAGAATGCATTGAATTATTGAACTCTGCCTGACTAAATTAGATTGTGCTACATCAGTGAGATCCTCTTGGGAATTTACATAAATACTATAATGAAATCTCAGCTAATTTCTGTTTCAATGCTGCCTTTTATTGGGGCTTTGCCTAGAGTTTCATATTGAAATATTCTGTAATAATGTGTTGGAAGCAACAAATCTCAGAAGCATAAACAAATCTAGAACAATAAATTTCCTAATATATAAGATCCAATTAGGATACAGAGGTTTTAGTGGCCATAAAAAATCTATGATCAATGGAAAGAATAATCAATTGTTTATTGCTGCTAGACTGCCACCCACCCTAATGTTTCATACAATACAAGTACTCCTCAATTTACAACCACAATTGAGCCCAACATTTCTGTTGCTAAGTGAGAGAGTTAAGTGAGCTTTGCCCCATTTTATGACCTTTCTTGCCATAGATGAATCACTGCAGTTGTTCAGTTAGTAACACGGTTGTTAAGTGAAGCTGGCTTCCTCATTAACCTCGCTTGTCAGAAGGTCGTAAAACAGACATGTCAAACACAAAGCCCGGGGGCCGGATGTGGCCCGCGAAGTGGTTTCATGTGGCCCGCGAAGAATCCTGGAAACAGTGAGAGAATGGGCCCCGCTGTCTTGGCCCTGGCCCAGGCCAGCCGGGAGCCAATGTACAATTTTCTGGTGGCCATCTATGCTGAAACGCATTCAGTCTTAGCTCCATAAGCCCCCCCCCACATGGCCTGAGAGGAACAGTGAGGCTCCTCCAGTGGGCCATGCCTTGGCACTTGCCCTGGTCCCACCCCCTTCTGCCAGAGACCTTCAGATCTGTCCCATTCCTGCCCAGGCCCCCACAGGCACCCTTGACGCGAACAATGTAGAGATGGCCACGTCCACCCAGTAGGCCATACCCATTCCATTCACGCCCACCCAGTAGACCACACCCACCCTGGCCACACCCACCCGGCCCCCTGAGGGCAACCACAATGCAGATGGAGAATTCCCATTCTGATCATTGCCTCTTGTTTATATGGTGGAGAAAAGGAGAAGGCATGTTTCATTGTGTTGATGTGTGGATGTTGTTGTGTTTGCCAAAAAAAGAGTC